TTCCTGATGGAAACAAGGAGACTTTTGGAGCAGGAGGACCAGCCTGCCCCGGGGATCAGGAGTGCACGCCCTCCCCGAGGGCATGGCCAGCGGCCCGTGGATCAGAGCACACACAGGCTGGGCCTGAATGAAGTCAGTGCCTGGGGACCCAGCAGCTGCCACGTGCTGGCAGCTCCATCCCTGACCACATCAAGCCCAGTGGGAAGCGACCCAGGCTGCGGGATGACTCTCCCTCCCAGCCCCACGAAGCCTTCGAGACTCCGGCAGCACCACCCTGGCTCATCCCCGCGTGGAGCACCCTCAGCGGGGCTGGCTGGGGAGGAGACCCCCGCCTGGAGCTCCTGCAGACTCACCAGGACGTGGAAGGGGAGGCTCTGGCAGCGCTCCTGCCCAGCTGGCAGCACCAGCGCCCTCTGAGCCGGCCGCTCGCCGCCCTCGTCCAGGTGAGCCCTCGGCGTGTAGCGCCGCTCGTCCAGCGTGGTGTTGAAGCGCAGCCCTGCGGGAACAGGGAGGGTCAGGGGGGCTCAGGGCTCACACACCAACACACCCCCTCCGAGGGTGCCCCGGGATCAGCCTGGCAGGGAGCGCACTGAGGGAAATCCAGGAGCATCGGGCTGTGGCCAGCGCTGCCTGTTTCTGACGGACATTCCCGTGGGGCAGAGCAGCTGCTCTGCAGGAGGAGCTCTAGAAAGGCACTGTCGCATTGACTGCCAGACACCACTTCGAATCGGGGCAGGAGATACAATTATTTGCTCCCACAGATTCACATGGAGGCCTGGAGCTGTTCTGGGGGTATCCTACCCCCCCATGCTCCTGGCCTGGATGTTTTATGGAGATCATTTGCTTCCTGCACTGCTGGTGGAAAGAGATTGAAGATTCCCAACCCAGTTCCAAGCAGGGTGGGATTTCAAGAACCACAGAATCCCGGAATGGTCTGAAAGCACCTCAAAATCCGTCTCATTCCACCCCCAGGGACACCACCTTCCACTAGCCCAGGTTGCTCCAAGCCCTGTCCAACCTGGCCTTGGACACTTCCAGGGATGGGACAGCCACAGCTTCTCTGGGCAACCTGTGCCAGGGTCTCTCCACATTCACAACCAAGAATACCTTCCCAATATCCCATCCAATCCTTTTGTTCTGTCCCTCCATCCCTTGTCCCCAGTTCCTCTTCAGCTCTTCTGGAGCCCCTTTAGGCCCTGCAAGGGGTTCTCAGGTCTCCCTGGATCCTTCTCTCCTCCAGGTGAACCCCCCCAGTTCTCCCAGCCTGGCTCCAGAGCAGAGGGGTTCCCACTACACCAGTGTGATGTAAAACATGGATAAGGAAGGAGCCACCATCAGCCCCATCCATGGGGTGACTCTTCTGGGTGAAAATAAGTGTAAAATCAAATAAATAAAGACAACCCCACTCAGGTTTTTACCCTGCAGGAGGAAAACACTGGCTTGGGCAGTACAAAACAGAACTCCTGCTTGGGGGGGATGGGAGTTTTTCCATTGGCTTTGCTCAGTTCCCGGTTTTCCTCTGACAGGGGATGAGCTGCTCTCGCTTCCCCCGCTCCGCTGAGTCACCGAGAAGCATCTGGGGGAGACTTGGGGTCATGGCAGTGTGGGGGGGGGTTTAACAGCCACAGCTTCCCAGAGATTCCCTGGGATATGAGGGAAAGCATGCACATGTGGTCAGCAGCTGTGTCCCGCTGCTGCAGGGGGAGGAGGGATGGGCTCTGTGGGACGTGGGCCGGGCACGGCCCCTCCTGCCCTGCCTGTGGTGACACCCCTGTCACACGTCCCACGGCACAGCAAAGCTCAGGGGAATAGGGGAGAGAGGGGGTTAAACACAGGGATGGTTTATCCTTGGGGTGTTCCTTGGCAGAGCCACCATCCCTGCTGCCTCAGCCTGGATAGGGACAAATTAGTGGGTGGAAAGGGATG